GGTCTCAACCTTTGGTTAATGTGTACCTAAAGAAACCCACTAGTGATGGTTGTTCCTTTGCTAGAAAACCCTCAAATCGATCTTGACCTTGACATTCATAGACGTAAAAAAAAAAAAGAGGGGATTTTTAGTCCTACAAATAGTTCATCTTCTAACACATTATCTAGACCGTCCAATTTCAAGATTTTCAAGTGTTTATAGATCTGCTTGATCGTCATCATTTTTGGAACTTTAAGTTTCATAATTAGGAGCAACAATAGATTTTCATACCATTGCAAGGATTTGTGGCACTGAAACTGCATTTTCTGCATAGTTTTGAGGCACACCTTACCTCAATAGTATAAGGTTGACACCTTATACAAACCTCACCCCACCTCGAATTCTCGTGTGAAAAGCATTTTGGGTATTGAAAATCTCTTGACGGGTCTAAAACAAATTCCAATAATATAAAATTTAAATCTAAAAAAATAGTAGAAGTCTTGCAGATATGTGAATACTTCTTTTTAGGGTGGAATGTACGGCTTAGATAATATGTTACAATATATATTATTTTTAAAACTTAAAAATCCTAATTTTTGTATTTTTACAATTATGATGGTCAAGGCCAATATGGTCAAGTACAAGGTTTTTTTTAGAGCATAACTCTAATTTTTTATGAGTTTTGAGATGAGATTTTACTTATTTTTATAGGGCTACAACGCTATCAAAATACTTTTCTTGATGAAAAATTACTGGAACGCCATCCATTTTGCGATACACATGATGGTGGGGCTGAGACTCACTTGAGTAACTCGAGCCAAGTAGGGCATCAGGTTCAGACTATTAGCCTAGGACTTAATGCGAATTCGATCAAGTCACTTATTTTTATACATATGGATCGATCCCATCACTGCATCATCTTGATGAATTTGATCCCTAATTACTGTATCCCAGCCAACTTAAAACTAGATCGTAGTCGACATTCATTATTCATAGATGCAATCCTTAGGTGGCCATTAGATCATAGTGAAATTGATTAGGCTGATCACCAGGAAGGCTATACAATTGAGTATACTTCTTATTTGGTATAGTCATATAGGAACATTATGAAAGAAGAAAATATAATCCCCAACATCTACTTATTATGTGCATAATGAATGCGAATACATCGTCAGCATCATCATCAAAAGTAATTTTCTAACTATTTAACGTCGGCTACATGAATCATAATCCGCTACTCTGCTCTATCAAGGGTCATACCTCGAATGAGGCCATAAGTTCCCGTATTTTTTCTCACAACTTCAAACCATGTCCTTTTAAGCTTACCCAATGATATCTTTGTTTGTATAATGAAATTATAAATGTATTTAGATAACTTAGAAAGAAATTTTCAAAATTTTTAGAACATGCGCTCGTGCAAAATGATTAAAATGAAAAAATAAAAGAAAAGATTACCATGGTCGAATTGGGTTTGAAACAGTACATACTAAATGCTCTTCAATTTCATTAGTGGTGTAGTTTTCTTCGTTATTGTTATTGTTATATAGAATATATAATAAGTTTGTTCGGATAATTTTGAGGTGTACATGGAACGACTCAATGAATTGTCGAGACAATTCATTGAGTGGCACCAATACGATGAAGAGGAAGAACAACTGCACATTTCATTTTGCTATCAGGTTGATTTTAATTGATGTATGTCCTATTTTAAACCATATATTTATATCTATGTTGATTATTATAAGTTCTTTTTATCAGTGATATAAGTGAATGGTTAACAGACATCCAGACACGACGTCTCGATATACATATATTTTTACAAAATAATGGAAGTACACAATGCGCCACTCCCAATTTTTTAAAAACTTAAAAAACAATACTTTTAGAGATTTTCAATGATTTTTTGAAATTTTTTTGGGCCGAAAGCCGCCAATCTACCTAATTCTTTAATGTGGATCGCCGATCTGCCGACCGACACGATTTTTAGAGGGTTCGTTCTAGGTTGCCGATCCATTTTTTCAAACCTTGGTTCTAGTGTTAGATTAGGGCTGACAATGGACTGGGAAGCCTGGCGAGATCTAGCCCTATTAGGGACGGGCTGGACTGGGCCAGGCGAAAAACAAATAAAACAAAAATAAAGGAGAGCCGGCCTGGGCTGAACCGATCAGCACTGGCTTTAGTCTTTGAGCTACTGTTTGTGGCCCGTGCCCCTCTTTTTAAAGGGAGGCTGCCAGACCCATTGCAAGCCCTTCAATTTTGAATCAATGTAAATTTTGAATCACTAAGGCTCCATTTTAATCAAGGGAAAGCTTTCTATGCTTTCTTTACAACATAAAACTTATATACTTCCCTTTATCCAACATCCATTTTGAATGGAAGGTTAAGATTGCTCCAATCACAATGTCATATCTCTACACTAATTTATTTTTCATTTTTTTCTATAAACTATTTTGACATCAAATTTCATATGTCCAATCTTCTATTAAACTCGCACTACCGAAAAGTATAAAATCAAAATTTCTAATAAAATACTATGACCAAAAAACCCTTGAAAATTTCAAAGGGTATTTTGATCATTATATTTTTTCTAAAATTTATTTTTAATATTTTTTATAGGTGCGCCCTAATGAGAAGATGACACGTATCAAATTTTATATTCATACAATTTGTATAAAAAAACTAAAAATAAAATACGTTGAAACATCGGATCTAAGATCGAATGGTGTGTGGCTCTCTTGATCAAAATTGGATGGCTGGATAATAGGAGAAACATAGATCTTCTATACGGTAGGGGAAATATAAAAACCTTTACCTTTAGTCAAAATAACATATATTTCCACATGAAGTTGATCTTTTAGTAGGCTTTGAGGTGTGGCTTTACTTTTCAACTAGGCCCTATATTAATCATACCTATTTAATATATAAAATATTTTTGGTAAAAAAATTTCCTTAAAGCATAAAGAAATAATAAACTATAACCAAAGTGATTGCCTCTGATCTTTGAGAGAGAATTTGTTTGCGATGAATAGGGTACAGGAAAAGCTTAAAGAGACATACTTTTCAAGTGAGTAAATTGTATTGGGCAATGATTTTATGGGGAACTATTTTACATCCTCTTGCATATAAATTGCATTTATGGGGAACCACTTCTGTGCGTATCGCTTTCACGAAAGGTCCCCATCCCTAATATTGAATTCATCGATTAACTTATGGGATGGTGAAATAAGATACGTGTTCTATGTGTACAAGTATTTGCTTGAGAGGTCATGGTGACTTGGGCTTGAGTGATTAGCAGCTGACGTGTAGGTCGATTAGATTTA